ATACAGTGCCGGAAAGTGTGAGCCCGAATACGGGTGCTTTGAAAAAAAAAAGAACCTTCTTCAACAAATTGAGCGGAACCAAAATATTCGTGAGAAAGCTCTCGCCAGCAGCGATCGAATAAGCCTATCCACAGCGCGGGGTTTTCGTTTTTGAGAAAGATATGGCTCCTTTACCATCAATGCAGAAGGCACTTCATCCCACAAGAATCGCCATGTCTCAACAACTACGGCGAACCCCGCAAAAAAAATTGCAGATTTGCAAAGCTCTCTTTCAGAAGTATTTTACTGCGGCAGAACCATACCCGAGCGTGGTGAAGAAGAACTTAAAAAAAAAAAAAAATCCTGTGAACAAAAAAAAGAAGCATTTCTCCAGATTCTTCACCTTGAATTTTTGTCGTGGGGCAATATGATGATAACTCAAGGAGTAATTGAGCAATTCTGGAAAAGATTACAGGAAAATGACCGTAAGTGTTACATGTATATAAGGGCACATGTCCCCGTAGCGGGTTCAGTTTGTTCTCGTGTGCAATGGCATAGATGTCATTCGCGCCGGCGCCCACAGGCCCAACACCCCGGTTCGAGTCCAGCAAGCATTCTCGCTAGTCTTTTTTTCCATACGTTTATCTTGAAAAATGTATGCAATTTTCTTCGACCTCATCAAAAAAAATTTGGTCACCGCGTCTTGTCGGTGCCATCACGGGCAATACGCACGTGAAAATAGTGTCGAAAACCATGACTTTAGTCAAAAGTTATGGCCGGTCAACCAAAATCGGTCTCACACTTTCCGGCACTGTAGACCANACCGAGGCCGACGAGGCACGGAATTGTTTCACGGCGGACCACACCCGCGCCTCCTGCCTGCGGACCCCCTGCTCTGGCGCCATTTCCTCGTGGGGGTTGCTTCAGGCTACGTCATTCAATTGACGTCATTGCCTCTATCCTAGTTGAGGGGTGCGTGCCTCCAGTACAAGATGACAGTGCTGGTTGTTCAGCGCCTTCATCGTGGGTCGTGTGAGCGACGATCGCCAGGGATTTTCCGAGCATTTTGGACACCACACTTTCGGTACCACCATTGTTGAGCGCCGCGAAAGGGTCGGCATCCACATCCCGGTTGAGGTGATGTGGTGGCTTGAATGAAAGCCGGGAGCCGTGGCGTGACTGTGGCAGTTGTTGCGGCTGCCGACAAGACGTTTGGGAGACGAAATGGGGTGTTGTCCCAAATTTGGAATTTGGGACAACCCCTGTTGGGGTCGCCGTGCCCCCTTGCGAGGGTGTATCTCGGCAACCACGTGTCGGTCGAGGCTATGTAAGGGCTTGAATGAAAGCTGGGAGCCGGTCAACTTCATCTCAGGCCCTTTCCCATCTTGGCGGGGCGTGGGCATCGATGTAACGACGCGGATATGTACAGGACACCTCCCAATAATCCTGCGGTGCCCCTTGGGAGGGCATATCTCCGCATGTACAGGTCGGGTAAGGCCACCCGATGGCTTGGATGATAGCTGTGGATCATACAAGCACAACAATGGTCTTTGGGGGTGTTTCGGAGGTGGTTGGGCCGAGTTATGGAGGAAAATGTGGAATTACCGAAGCCACGGAGCCCCTGTTTTAGGCTCTATCTCCCCGGCCCCGGCTCCGTTGTGGACTCAAAATACATTCCGTGAAAGCTGTGTCCAGTAGGATTACAACAAACTTGGTTTGAGGTCGATCCGAGCTTTCTACGCCGAGTTAGACGTGTTGTTTAATTTGGGACAACGTTGTCCCAAATAGCCGTGCCGTTAGAAAAAAGGGTCAGAAACACTAACGAAAGAACGTATGGTGTGTATTCGGTCTCGATCCACGCGTCTCGTGTACGCAGAATCGTTCCTTCGTTAACACACCCGTTAATGAAGCGACACTCGTCCACCGACCACCCTGCCATCACCAAACAACGAGGAAAGCAATATTAGGTGGACGCGCGTAATACATCGTCATCCATGCGGCGCATACTCTTGGACCAGCATGAACCCTGAGGTAGTCTCGTCGGCGACTGCGCATGGTACGTTCCGAAGCAGTAGCCTGTTTCCTGGCGGAGCACGGACCTAAGGTACGTTCAGGAAACGCTGCCAACAGGAGGCAATCAGTCTCTGTTTCCTTTAAAGGCGCCTGCTGATTGGATGATGCGGAAGCAGTTCCAGCCCTGGGTGCAAGTCCAAAGCTGCCTCCACACCTGAGCCGTCCCTACCTAGTCTTCAACCCGTATCAAAAGCCCCGAAACCCGGGGTTGGGCAAGCTACAACCTCTACATGAATAGGCCACACCGCTGTGGATCCTACCCGTGTGGACAGCACGCAATCAATTGAACGAAACGCCCACCCTGAATATCCTCAGCTTCTCTCAAAGTCACCCTTCGAGAGCACAGGAGAAATCCACGGTACAAATAACAAGAGACAACAAAAATTGGCCTCAGGGGATCCTCCAGCCCCCATCCACCTCTACAAACACCAGTCTTGCCACCAGGTATCGACAAAATATACTAGATACACACCAAAGACATGAATGGCTCTACTCACACCTACACAACCAAAAACTGGTGGCGACTACCTCGCCATCTTAGAGAAGCTGTTCATGCCGAAACTACGAGAGAGCAACGAGAGTGGGGGCTATGTTTCCATTCTATTCTTGCGAAAAAACCGAACCGTATCACTGCCAAACGCAACCCAGTAACGCTGCTGACGTAATACTTATCCGAAATGTGACTAACATTGCCGATAGAGAGATTGGGCAGTCGACACCCTTTTCCAGAGGAGGAAAATTTGACAAAATGTGACAAACTAAAACTCAGGCGGTGTCTCTCGAATTCCCGCAGCATCGTTAAAGAAAACAGCACCGACATATGAACAAATGAATTGCATGTTGAGAGACTCGGCATCCGGTGCCCTACCTGAAGCGGGAAAATTGGCGAAGACTACCACCAAAAACAAGGGTGCTGGATACTCAGGTGGCACCTCTTGAGATCCGCAGCATGGACAATCAACCCTATGTGCATGCCCACGATTTGGTACCATATCTAGTGCGACTTGGCAACATCCCAAATTTTCACACAACACTGACTGGCTGAGTGGTTCTACCCCTAACGCATTCGACTAGAGCAATTTTGACGTGTGGAGCGCGGGTTCGAATCCTGGCGCAGTCACGGGGACTGGGAACTTATCTGACGGCATGCCCAAACACTGCCGAAAGCGAAAGTATCGTGCGCGCGCGCTATAACTTCGACTTTACAGTCGACGAGGGAATCTCACAACTGCATCCTTCTAAAGGTAAGCACCGCAGAGGAACAGTGGGGTGGGGTGTACTCATAGTCGTGCATGCCGTAGTCGTTGGACCATTGACCTCGCATCCCTACAAAGCCGGGACGGAGCACGCCGGGTTCTCACCGGACCAGGCTCTCACATCACCAAGCGCGAAGCGCCGTGAGATATTCGGCGAGTCGCATGAAGGGTGCGCTGCATCCTGCTAAGGGTGTTCGGCATCTTGTGCTTACTTCCTTGCGTACGTATGACAGCTGCGTATGACTTAATTTACTTTCTGGTGCTTTCAACTCCAGCAACAGTTG